AAACAATAGATGAAAAGGGAACTAGTAGATGTAGATAAAAGCTCAGTATCTGGGGCAACATAAATCAAGAATAGAGAATTAACTAACTAACAATACAGCTTCAGAATAAATGGCTCAGTTTCAGGTTTACAAATGAGTAGGAGGTACCACTGGGGTCAGTGTTAGGGTCCCAATTTACGATCTATATTAATGACTAGTCTGACCGGCTTGACTGCACTGCAGCTAAATTTCCTGATAATGCAGGGATAGGTCAGAAAGTTTGGAGGGGAATGTAAAAAAAAAATCTATAAAGTGTTATAGTTTAAGTGAATGGACAAAAAAAAAATTGATAAGTGGAGTATAATCTGGGAAAATGCAAGGTCTTTCACTTTTGTCAAAACAAATGTAAAATATTTAAATACAGAGGCACCACAGAATTCTACATTAGACGGGTATAGTGTCCTGCTGCATGAACCTCAAAAATGTTTATATACAGGTACAGTAAGTAGTTAGGAAGGCAAATGGAATGTCAGGCCTCCCTAACTGAATATAAATGTCAAATAACAACTGTACATGGTACTGGCAAGACTATATCTGGATAGTGGTTTGGTCTCCTTATTTAAGAGATGACAAGCTTCACACTGGAGGTAGTTGACATACAGGTTCTGAAGTTAATTCCTAGTATTAAAAGGGACATTTGAGGAGAAATGTTTGAGCCAAAAAAAAGTTCAAAAACAAGAGGAGGCAATCTCATTAAAACAAGATTCTGAGGGGCCTTATTTGAGCAGACAGAAGACATTTCTCCTTGTGGGAAAAAATCATGGGTGGTGATCAGAGGGGAGAGCAAGTGCATAGGGAAGCCTACGACACAGATGGTCAGCTCAGATAATAACCCCTTGTTAGAGGTCGAGGGAAGTGCAGACCAGGGGCCAACACTTCAGGCAGGCTTTTGAGCCCTCCCTGCCCACTTGGCCTCAAACATAATTGCAATTGGAGTGATGAGATTGTAAAATTTTTAAAGAAGTTGGTGAGAGGATGCCTCCATTTTGACAGGCATAAAATCTGCCAATTTCCATCACCTGGCTGGTGATTCCAAATTCATAGTAATGTGGCTGACTCAGAACTAAGGTGAAATTTCCTAACAAACCAACCATTCAGTTCAAGGGTAAATTGGGGACGGGCAACAATCAATCACTGTTGATGCCCACATCCCATTTACAAAATAAAAGAGTCTCAAACTACATGCCTATTCGTCAATGATAAAAAGTCAGTAGTTTCTGCACTCTGAACCCTTGAGAACCAAGAGAAAATTCTGTACCATATTCTGCAGGCCAGTATTTGGAACCTGACTCATTGAATACTATTTGCAATAAAGAACAATGTCACACATTATGTCCCTTGATTATCAAAGAAAAACATTGTGTAATATTGCAATAACTCTGGGCACAAAGGAGATAGTCACACAAAAGTGCTTGGATACAAGGAAAAGAAAGTGATTAATTTAGAAATCCTAGGGCAAATACTCCTAACGAAGCACAAGATCTCTCACATACCTCATCACTTCCCATTTAGTCTCAATATATTCTCCAGATTTAACTCTGCAGTGCAAACATCCCCCTCACTAACAACAAATTCTGTGCAAACCTGGTCCAATAAATTGGATTATTAATCTGCTAACATGTGCTGTTTCACAGTTCAGAGCCTCTATGCACAGGCTGATTTGTGAATTATCACATTTCAAGCACTTAAAATTGTCTTCCGATTAGAATTAAAAACATCTTTATAATCTGATAAAATAAAGCACATACGTAGGTAGGAACAACTTTTTAATATGTCACACTGCTCTTAAAAGGTTCCTTTGAACTTTTCAACACAAACATACTTAAGAGCAGTTACATTTTCTCAGTTTACCTATTCCCTGGAATGTGAGAGATCACAACAAATGCAAAGGGCTTACATTATGTGTAGCTTCGAAGTACCTGGAAACAGGGAAACAGGGCAAAACAATGACAACTTACACTTGCAAAGCAACTTCCAAACAGGGGGGAAAACAAAACATTTCACAGAAAAGTTAGATGACACATGAAAGAAGAGGAGAAGGAGTGATGGTCAAACTTCATGGTTTTAACAAGGCTTTTGGTACGAGGTAGTAAAGCTGAGGGAACTTAAAAATTCAAGATGCAAGTACATGAAGATTAATTCCAATTCAAAAGCTAGAGGTAGGGTGTGAAAAAGGGAAGCTACATATTAAAACAGAACTATAGAGGACATATTCATGATTTCAACAGCAAGCTGTGGTGAATTGAAGAGGAGGGTGAGGATATGACAAGATTGAGGTCAGGATGCTAATAGAACTCAGTACAACAGGGCCATAAGAAAGTAGAGACTAGCACAGTGAAGACAGTTTTGATGGCAGGGTCTAGCTACTATTATTGGAAAGAATAATGTTAACATTGAATTCAGAGTTTCAAGTTTGTGCTCAGGGACAATTTTGAGCACCAAAAGCACCATTTAGATCATAAACTGTCCTATTAATATTCCAAAATAACTTAAAAGGAGGTGGAAAACCAAATACTACTATTGTTTATTTTACCTGTACACACAGCCTCAATTCTATGCAGCTTTAGTTGGATAGGCACATGAATGATAGTAAAATGAAGGTTAGTTTGATTTCAGTAGGATAATAGGTCAGCACAACATCATGGGCCAAAGGGCCTGTACTGTTCTATGTTATGTTTAAACATAGAACACAGAACACCAACATACTTGCTCTGCCTGTGGAGGACAAGGGGAGCTCAGCATAGTTCCCAGAGGCTGCACTGCAGCCAAAGAGAAACCTGACTGATGTTCCTTTTTCTACAGCCAGGAATACTGAGGTAGCCACTTTTACTTTGAGATTAACTAGGATAAAAGCGGAATCAACAAATTGCAATATCGCTTCACAAGGATTTGTTTGAATTGGATTTAATTCGAAAATATTAAACAATATGGCTTATGGATGCCAACAAATGAATTTAAAGGAAACATACAAATGGAAATTATTTTAATCAATATTAATCTAAATCACAGAACCAAAGCTATGGAGACTACAGAAAGAAGAACTAACACCAATCCCAAATCTGTCACTGCAAACCTCAAGCCATATTTCTGGTGAGTCCATTTAGCAATGAAGAATTAGTTGTCCTTTTAGATCAGATGAGGAGAAATTGAGCATCATGCAACTTGGGAACTCTACCTCTGAATGTAGCATAGATAGTGTTATTTATTAATTTTAGAAGGCAGAAGATGGATTCTTGTCAGGCAAGGGATTAAAAATGTTATCAGGGAAGGGAATGAGAATTAAAAACAAATAGATGAGATATAATCATAATGAGTAGCAGATCAGGGTTGAAAGGCTTAATATACTATGAAAGGGCAAAGCATTTCTAATCACAATGTCTATTCCATGTATTGAAACTGTTCTGATGTACCTCAAAAGTGAAGCATAACACATGAAGAGTTTGTGTCTATTGCGCTGTCATTTTCAATTATAAGTATTTTGCCCTCAGGTCAGATACCTGACATGGTTGCCTGTTGTCAATATTAAGATTGGTACCATTGTACTGAGTCAGCTGAAAATGGAACACATTGTTGGGAGACCAGTTGAATTTTACTACAATTTAAGGCAAAATGTTTTGTAATGCACTTCACAAAATATTTTTGAAAACAGGTGACAAGCAATTTTAGTGTTCTACAATACACTGACTTTTGTTTAGAAAATAGTCCCATGCTGCGAATTTAAATAAACACCTAAAAACAAGAAACTTACAACTTGAATTTACATAAGGCAGGATCTGATTATTGTAAAATGAGGAGGGGGGGGGAGGAAATTGGTCTAACTTAGGGCCCTATTGCCTGAATTCACAGGGGTTTTTTTTAAAAAAGAAAAGTCTATTCCTTTTTCCCCTTCCTGAACAAGATATGTAGAATTGCAAAAACTAGACAATCCTCCAGCATAACAAACAAGTGTCTAACGCATGAAAAGGCAAATCCTTCTGGTCCTTAAGGAGACACCAACATACTTGCTCTGCCTGTGGAGGACAAGGGGAGCTCGGCACAGTTCCCAGAGGCTTCACCGCAGCCAAAGAAAGACCTGACTGATGTTCCTTTTTCTACAGCCAGGAATACTGAGGTAGCCACTTTTACCTTGAGATTAGCTAAAATAAAAGCGGAAAATAAATCGAGGACTTTTCAGAGCACCATCGTGTATTTAACCACGAAGTAGTTCTGAAACTTTTAAAATCCCTTAACTGAACGGAACAAAGACGGAGTTTTATTTTAAACAAAGTATCCCAACCTTAAATTGAATGCTGCAAAAGCAATTATTTGGCCGGCTATTTTGTTCACATTAGCCAGATATAACAGCATGAAGGAAATCAAATTAATACGCATCATTTCACCGCGAACGTCACCAAGATGAGAATTACTCGAGCTGTCCTGGTGGACTCCATTCCCGATTCACAAGAACTGTCACCTTTGGAGGCTTGTATTTCGTTGACGAAAATAATGATTTGCGAAATTACTACTACTTTAGAATCTAAAAAAAAATCCAAACGTTTAAAAAAATACCCCACGACACCATAGTTGTCAAGGTCATTGCTCTCAAGTGAAATTTTACAAAGAATAATTAGCTCAAACTTGAAACAATTAACAGCGAGATTTCATTTTTTTTTCTCTACAAAATAGAGCGAGTCGCATTCAAACAGCTAAGATTGACAGGTGGCTAACAGAAGTAATGGACACAGGATGTTTAAATTCCTCACAGCACGATTTAAAATTCATGTAAATCAGTTGCGAGCTCTACGCCAGAAAAATGGTTTTAAATAGAAATCTAAGCTGCGCCGCGAAAGCTTTATGGCCCCTCAAACACAAGGATTTTCTGCTAAGATATGATTTTCGCCACTTTTAGAAGTCCGGGTCCTTACAGTCCTTCCACCTCTTTCAAAACACAACAATTCTACATTCTTGTCATTGTTACTCACTCAAAGCCGAAAAACAACGCGCTGGTTCCCACGATGAGGAAGACGGTAAGGTAAAAAACTCCTTTCTGTCGAGCCATCATGATCCTACCATCGCAACAGAACGTGTTTCTCCCTGGCAGCTTCTGCCATTTCCGCGTTGGTTTTTTCTCGCTCTTCATGGCTTTGTAATTCCTTTCGATAACTCTTTACAATGAAAAATCTCTTTTAAAAAAACTCAATCAAATATAATAATGCCTTTTTTAAAAAAAAGTCTCAGATCGATGACAGTATATAATAGAGCAGACCGCTCTTTCCCTTTGTTCCCCGGGTATGCAGTCCTCAGTTCCCCTCCTGCTCCTTCCTTTCCTGCCTCTAACAGCTCCTATATTCAAGCAAATTCAGCACTACCTCTCTATGCGCTGCTCCATCTCTAAGGCTCAGCCAAAGCTCCGTCAACCACGCCCTTCCCCAGCTCCACTTTGTAAGACTGCTTGTGCGCGCCCCCGCTCACCTGCTGGTTCCCGTGGGCGTGCGCCTGCGCACGCGAGCGCGCACCTCCAGCTTGAAGCGACCCATTCATTCGCACCATCGTTAGACGACAGACAGACAGGCTGTTCTGAGTCACTGCCACACCGTATTTAACCAGGTCGACAGCGGATGGGATCAGAACAGAGACTTTTATTTGCAAATATTACTAGCCGATGATCAAGGCCATTTTGGGATTGAAAATTTTTAAATAGGTTCAGTGGAAGTATTAAATCTATTAAAATCAGTGTCTCAATTCGTGATCACAATAATTGCACCAAGTAATTTCCTATCCCCCCAAAAACCTAATGATGCTTAAATGCTCCAGCTGTTAATGGCAAAGACAAATCTCTGATTCAACATGGAAATCTGTCAAAGGGGCTGTTCTTATCTTTGTGAAAACAGTATCTCCCTGTCTAGTTGAACATCTTTGATTCAACACGGAAATCTGTCAAAGAGGCTGTTCTTATCTTTGTGAAAACAGTATCTCCCTGTCTAGTTGAACATCGAGCTACATTGAGCTACATTGAATGGTATTTGCGCAGTAGACACTCACCACAGAAAGTTAAAGCTGCTCTCCAGTGATGTAAGGAGCCTGCTTTTTTGTGATGCTATTTCAGGGTTGCATATCTAATTAAGGCTAGAATAGCCATCAGAATTTTTTTAACAATACGCTTGTTCACGACAGTCAATTAACTACTTTGGCATTGTAGAGCTTCATTTCTTGGGATTTTAATTGTTGAATATTTTAAATGTCAAATATAAACGTCTTTTTAAAGTTTTAATCTTTTTTCTCACAATCCAATCTTTATGTTACTCCATTCTTATGGTTTCATACTAAATATGTTTTGTGGACTTGAATTTGAAGGATATCTGGATTTTGTTTAAAGAGATCAATGAAAGGACAACGGAACATATTTCTTGATAGTCATGTCTTGTAATAACTACTTGTTAAATAAAGAGCATTTCCCTGGTTTCGACTTACAGATTTCAGTTTCTGCATTAGATATATATTGCTTATGGTATTTGGTGATTAGCTATGCTAGCTTTCCTGTTACTGTAAAAACATTAATGTGAATCTAGTGTGAAACTGAATTGTTCATTTGTTAAACTAAGAATCTGATCGACATTTTACATTGAAAATAAATGATGTCTGTGCAACATAAACAGCCAGTTTCAGCTGCAATCATGGAACCAAAGATGGCAAGACCCGTTGAGTTTAAAATTATTTTTGTATGAGGAGAAGTCCTTCATATGCAGGAATTATTGTTAACCTGGTTATCAAATGGGTCAGCCCAATATTAGCCACACTTAATCCAGCTGGGTGAATCAAGCTCACTCAGTTAAAAACCTACAGTTTATTATCATGATTTAAATAAGGCCAATGACTCAAGATTACTTTTCAGATCCTTACCATTTGCTATGGCCAGAACATTGATCCAGCTTGCTATGTAATTTTCAATGCCAGGATTACCACACTTTCCAAAACTAATAAGGTTGCAGTTTTCTTGAAACCATGGGGAAACAGCTTGGTGATTGAGATTGTGTGAATTGCAGACTCAATGGGATTTGAACTTCATCCTACAATTTTCCACACACAAAGATCCTAATCTCTACCATGCTATGCAGTAAATGCCAGTAATCAAATTATTTGAGTATTCATATGGCTTCTTAGACTAGTTGCTTTCTTTGGAACAACATTTTCATAGTCACAATAGTCATAAATCATCAACCCAAGCAGTATTTTATCATCTTGGACTTTTACCCCACAATGTCAGTTAATATAGCACCTCTGGAGAAAAAGTACTCTAATCTGAATGCTGGGTTTAGCTTAATTGATTTTCAACACATCGTCTAGCTGCACACTGTGTCCGATTTAAATAATTTGAATACATGTAAGTTAACCATTCTTCATAGCATTTTGAAAGAGCAGGATTATATGTCCTTTCAATTACAAAAATACAAGATCATGATGTTGTCTAGAGTCATATGCAAGTTATTAGGAGTGAACACAAATTCTGAGCAAAGATTCCACGCAGTAGTTACAGTGTTCTTAACAGTTTGCAAGAGAACAAAATACTGTTAGAGCAACTTCCAAAAAGACAAACAGGAGATTGTGAGCAGTAGCAGCTGTTTTATATATATATATACATATACCAAAAAAGTGGGCCTGTGCTCACATTGTAGAGTAATTAAACTATAAGACAAACTTGTGTAGTGCTGAAAAATGACACATTTTGTTAAAGCTTTTCATCTTGATACTTTTTAGGATATTTTGCAAGAATTGAAATTTAATTGGAAAACAAGCATTAATAGGAGAGAACCAACTGTTGATAAGTTGACTCTTATGTTAGAGCCCTTACTGTGGACAACAAACCCATTAACACTACTAATAGTTAATAACCTGGCTCTGATTAAATTTCAAATCAGGCAGGCTGATTCTGATTGGACGTGGAATTGCCATGAGAAATGAATGGCTAGTGAATGACTGTTGCCAAATCTGCGGAGGTGAAATAGATGCAGAGCATGTCCATGTTCTCCCTTTCTGCGAAGTATTGGGCCACATCAATTAAGGAAGGTTCCAATTCACACAAATGCTCCACACTGCAAGCTCGACTGACAATCTTAATTTTCTGCCACTTCATTTTCTGCTTAGGCATTTTACATCCTTCAGACCTCAACACCGAGTTCAGACCATGAAATCTGTCCTCCCTTTAGATCACCCTACTCCCCCCAATGCTTGTTTGCATCGGTTTAGTCTCAGCAGAACTGATCTATTTTCTGTTATAAGCACCTCCTGTTAACATATACTTCTCCTCTACTACCACTTAGTATCTCCTTTTGTCTTTTGCTCTCAGCACCGTTACCAGTTGTTCCACTTGCTTCTCTATCCCCCTTTTTCAACAGCATAAAATCTATCACTTTTCCAGTTCCCTTCATTTCTGAAGAAGGTTAATTCTGTTTCTCTCTCCAACAAAGTCTGCCAGACATGCTGAGTTTCTCCAGCACTTCCTTTTTTATTTCATTTCTCCAGCAGCTGCAATATTTTCCTTCTAATGAATATTTTTTCTTAGTTGTACAATAAGTATTTAGTGTACAAAGTATGTAATGAGATTGGAAACTGAGAGGCCCTGACAAAATGCAAATTGAGCATCAAACAGCAAGTTATTGCTGAGGAAGTGCTGATCAATAGCACTGCCAAGAATACCCTCCATCACTTGCTAATGATAAAAGAGTAGACTTGATGAGGTAACAATTAGCCCAATTGGATTTAACTTGCTTTTTGTAGACAGGGTATTCCTGGGCATTTTTCCACATTGTTGCTTAGTTGCCAATATCGTAAATCTTTGAACAGGTTGGCCGACCGTAAGACTAGTTCCATGTTGTTGCTTAGTTACCAACATTGTAAATTAGTTTGAACAAGTTGGCTAAGAGTATGATTGGTTCTGGAGCACAGGTTTCAATATTACAACTGTGGTGTTATCAGCGCCTGCACCCTTTGCTATGTCCAGAGCCTTCAGCCGTTTCCTGATATCACGTGGAGTAAATCAAATTGGCAGATTGTTATTTGTGATCCTGGTGCCCTCAGGGGAGGCTGAGATGGATCATCTCCTCAGCACTTTTTGGGCATTAGGTGGCAATTAAAAGGAGGTTTCTTTGTTCATGTTTGGCTTGGTACCTTGAAATTTCATAGAGTCAGGAGTTAATGTTGAATCTTCACAGGGTAACTTCCTCACAAATGTACACCATTGTGCCACATCTTTAGTGCGTCTGCCCTGCCTGTGGGGCAGGATATATCAGGGATGGTTACAGATAAGTTTAGAACATTAATGTAAAGAATGGTTGGCTCAGTACGTCTCTGTCAGTCTATTGCTTAACTTGTCTTAGTTTTGGAACAGCCCTAGTTGTTAGCGAGAAAAATGTTTTTAATCAATTAATTGAATTTAATCTGTATAGCATTAGTCCAGGTCTTTGATTTACTAGTCCATTAACATACAGAACCACCTTCACTTCGGAGGGTTTGTACCATCCACTTTTTCTATCCTCCCACCATCTAACACTATCTTCAATTATTTTTCTATTTCATGTTAAAGTGTTGGGATAGGTTGGTTTCAATAATCATTTATGTTAACGTACTTCAAAACCTATTAACTCTTTGCATGAAACTATTTCTTTCAACTTCTTGCTTTAGATGACAATGATCAACGACTTAAAAAGTATTCATTATTTAAAACTTCCATTGAATTTTATACATAATTCTCAAATTGTGCATTGGACAGAGTCTATTCTGCACTTAACATCTTTAGTCAATTAAAAAAAGTATTTCTTAATCAACTTTTCCAGACATCTCATGGCACACCTGCATGGCAGATGGGACTTGAGCCCAGATTTTCTGGCCCAGAGGTTGGCACACTACCACTGTGCTATAAGACTCTTGAGTCTTTGATAGACTACTATCAACTGGTCGACACAAGTTGTAATAACAACAGGTATGGGCCTTCAGCTACTGGAAAGTGAAAGTACATTACATAAATGTTAGTTATTTTCAAACACCAGTTTTCTCGTTCCATAGTCCATTATTTTATTAACTTTCTCTCATCACTATTCTTCATGTATGAGGTCAGATTGTGTGCTAGCAGGCCATTCAACTACAAGGCAGATTGCAGTTGAGCTTGATCTTATCAGCAAATAGGCTTTACATTCACTTTCTAGATCTTGTCCCTGGAGAAAAGTCATTAGGACCAACTTTTTTAGTCTGCGCATTTTGAGGCTGATTGTTCTTTACTGTAGATAAAATATTGTGCTGTGTTCAGGTGTTGGAATTTCATCATGTAATCTTTACAAATTGTGTTTCCTTTTGGAATCTTTGATTCTACTTTTTATTGTATGTCTAGAATACAATGTTGCATCTACTTGGGGTAGTTTATTCATTTAATGAAATAGAACTGACTTTGTACAAGAATAAAAACCATAACATAAAGTTTAACAGTAAATTATGTAAAGGATAACAGCTGGTGGTTAGGTGCACATGAAGTAATAGATATCTGGTAGTTAATTACATGTGAAAAAAGATACCTGGCAGTCAGT